TCATCTTGGTCAAATACATCAGACTCCCAAACTTCTTCCTCCGTGGTATTTCTATCAGTTGCCATGTCCGATGATAATGAAAGTATTCTACTTTTTCGTCTGTTTCGCATGATTCCAGATACGGATTCATCAGACCGAATCGCTGAATTCCATATCCATTGTATCTAATATTTAGATGGGCAAAAACTAAAAATGAAAAATCCTAACCGCCTTTTTAGAAGGAAAGAAACTTTTTACTACCGTTACACTTACCGGAAGAAATATGTGCTCAGATAATTCGTTATGTCATAACTCTACTAGCATGGACCTTATAAGAGATAGACTAACCCAGTGGGCTAGGCCCGCGTCACAGACATGTCGGCAATAAAGAGTAGGGACGATCTGGTTTACTTTAACACTGAAACCTATGGCGTTTGTATCACAAAACTCTTTTTAATTATTAAATGTGATCCGTTGCATAGTGATGAGATTAATTGTGCGTAAAAATAAAGTAAAATTAAATAAGACCGATAGTACGCAATGCTTTGAAATAAATAAGTTAAAATTAAACAAGATCTGATAATTTTTTTAAAAAAATTTAATGAACATTTTCAGGCAGTGATTTTTCAAACTATAATAACATTACGAAACGATCATATTTATTTGATTATATGATCATTAAATTATTAACATTAAATTGGATTAGTTATTTTAATAATTCATAAAATTTTGAGCGCAATGAAGGAAAAAAAAAGATAAAATAAAATCTAGAAGCACTCTTTTTTTAAAAGTTTTATGTGTTACCTATATTTATTGAATATCATGTTCTTCGCTCGTAAACCACATACATTTGAAAACAGCATATCTTTAGAATTTCCGCACTGGAGATAAAACTGTTATTTTCCGTACAGTGCTCGTTCTGAACTCGTTGAGTTTGTTAATCAAAAATTCGTTAAAGATTTACAAAATATGAAAAAGATTAAAACAAATTTGAAATTCGGCCGTCCAGATAGATGCCTATGTTCGGGTGGAGGATTACATTATTCAAAATTTGATGGATCTAGATACTGTCGTTTTTGTCACAGTGCGAGAAACATACATGTATTCATGCAGATTCTTCATGATTTAATTTCCTTACATATAATACAGGGCGATAATATTTGGTAACAACAATTTGCAAGAAGACACGGACATTTATAGTAAAACAGCGCAAAATGCCGCTTCGAAATTAACAGCCTTTCTAGGCTACCGCTCCTTAGGGCTAATAAATTAAATTAACAGTAAATAAAAAAAAACCTTATGCAGAACTAAAAATAAATTTTAAAAATAATCACTGTAAAATACAAGCAAAATTAATTAAATTGGCCATAAAAAACGAATTAGGGACTTTCCGAATTCATGCGACTGCCACCGTGGGTCCTATCGGCAGGCCAGACCACGCGCGGGCCACGTGAGAATTTTGGAAATTCGTTCTATTCGAATCAGATAGTGGGTATTAGGGCGCAAGTATTAAACAGTATAATTTGGTGCCACGTCGCCCCATGGGGCGGACCGCTAGTTGAAGAACGAAACGGACCGCGAATATCCGAGCCGGCGTCAAAGTGTTAATTCGAAAAATTATAGATATCTTAAGGAAAGATTCTTTTAAAGCATTTTTAGAAAAACAAATATACGGATGTGAAACAATGAACTTTTTAAGCCAATTTAACAGAGAAATTCCATACATAAAGCACAAAATGTAGCGTTTATACTGATTTATGTAAACGTAGTTTGGTTATAAATTTAATATTAATTAAAGTACAAATACATGGCAAAAGATAAATTGGAATGTGCAAATCTAACGAACAAAGCGAAATCTGGATTTGTAAATCTAATGAACAGATTATATATATATATATATAGGGCGTCTCGTAAATGTTGCGACGAACGTCTGGCGGAGTTAAAGCACATGATTAGGATTAAGAATTGCATAAGGAACCCCTGTTCAGAAACGTCACTGTATGCCGCCAGAGGGTGTTGTACAGGAGAGTGCTAGTGGAAAGTGAGGATTGCCTCGTCTGAGCCCGAGCGATAGGCACTATACGAAGAGCATGGAACGCTATACGAACGAACAGCTTGTGAAGATGTGGTTCCAACATGACGGGATGCCTGCTCATTTTGGACTGCATCGATGGATTGGGCGTGGTGAACCGGTTCCCTGGCCCTCACGCTCAACCGGATTTATCCAGCCGTGATTCCTTTTTGTGGGGAGCCATCAAAAGTGTCGTGTATCACGATCCTGTTGTGTCCGAAATACAGGGGTTGGACAAAAATATGGAAACACCTTTAAAAAAACATGTTTCTTTGCTTAATATGGTGTAGGAAACCCGTTGGCATCCAAAACAGCTTGCAGTCTTCTCGAAATGGATAAACACAGTTCCTGTATGTTTGCCAAGGGAATATTATACCATTGTTCCTGCAAAACGGTGGCAAGTTCAGATAACGATGTTGGCGGTGGATAACGAGAACGCACTTTCCGTTCCAATGTAGACCACAAAGGTTCGATAATATTCAGGTCTGATGACTGTGGTGGCCAGGGGAGATGGGACAACTCATCCTCGTGCTCAGAAAACCAGTCCTGGACAATGTGAGCTGTGTGAACAGGGGCTTTGTCGTCTTGGAAGACACCATCACCATCGGGGAACAAAGTTTGTACCATCGGATGAACTTGATCGGCCAAAATGTTCACATAAGTCTTGGCAGTCATGTGCCCTGACACAGTTATCATGGGGCTAGCAGAGAACTACGATATGGCTGCCCAAACCATAACAGAACCCCCGCCATGTTTCACTCTTGGCAACAAGCAGTCTGTATTATAGGCTTGAGATGGCGTTCTCCAGACTTAAACTCGGCCAGAAGTGGGAAACAATGTGAAAGAAGACTCGTCAGACCATATTATTCGCTTCCACTGCTCTATAGTCCAGGCTTTATGACTTAAACACCACCTTTTCCTGTTACGGGGATTAGCATCACTGATGAGTGGCTTCTCATTGCAGCACGGCCAGGCAATTCCCTGTTTTATGAAGCTCCCTTCTAATTGTTTGGTACTCACAGGGTTTGGTAACACAACATTCATTTCAGCAGTAACTTTTGCAGCTGTGGTCTTCTTATTTTTTTCGTCACAATTGCCCTTAATGATCGTCTGTCACGATCACTCAGGACACACTTTCGTCCGCGCTGTGATTTAGCAGATGATTGTTTTCCGCTTTTCAAATATGCGGAATAAAATCTTCGATACAGTACCTCTTGAAACACTAAACACCTCGGCTGTGTAACACTAAACACCTTGCTTACGGAAGCACCTACCATACGTGCTCCAACAATTTGCCCACGTTCGAAGTCTGTTAACTCTGACATAATGCAATGACAACCTCACATAACAGTAGTCCGACAACAACTGAACTGTTTAGCACATTTACGAAGTTGTATAGGTAGCGTCAGTAGTCAAAAACGCCAGCGCCACCTACATATTTCATTAAAATCAATCTTTCTTTTCAAACATGCATTTCACAAGGTGTTTCCATATTTTTGTCCATCCACTGTAGATCTCGTGGCAAAACTCGCCTGCGCTAGAACTCGCCTGCGCAGCTGCTAGAATCAAAGAAACTCCCGGTGTGTTTGAATATGTCCCGGCAATCAATGGTCCGTCGGTGTCAGGCATGTTTGACGTCTGATGGTACAAACATCGAGCATCTGTTTTAATCTTCAAGCTGTTGTACACTCCTTGTATTCACGTCCAATAAATGTTTCAAATTAATCACTCTCATGTTTCCTTTCCCTTTTTCTACCTATGCTACCTATTACCACTGATATTTACGGGCATGGGTTCCTATGCAATTCTTAATGCTAATGATGTGCCCTACCTTCCCCAGAAGTTTGTCGCAACATTTACGGGACACCCTGTAGAACTTGACCAAATTAGCTGGAAACTGAAAGGAAAACTGCTACATTTTATAGCAGTTTCCGCGTTTGCAAGCAATAAATGACAATGATTAAGATATTATTGCAATAAATTAAACAAACGCAAAGAAAAATCCATTTAATATTTCTCAATGTATCATTCGTAATATTTATCAATGCATTCAGAGGTCGGTACATGGATACAAATTGCACTATGCATAATGTACTCGTATAATCTAATAAAGAATAATGATGACATAGCATTTTGGTCATCATCTCGTCGATAATTTGTCAATAAAAAGACAATCTAAAATTCTTTATTTCAGGATATTTAGCACAGAAAGCACATCAGAATGGCATGAAGAAACATCTATCACTTAAAATTTTAAACGTACAAAATTACGCGATGGTTGATGGTTACAAATCACAGCTAAGAGTAGAGAGATTTATCTTGAAACATTTAAAATTAAAATAATCAATCCTAAGATCTTTTACTTAAAGGGTGTTGTTATCGCATCACGTTTTTGATTATTGATTAATTTAAGCCCAATATAAGACTGGATACGAGTTCCCCATCATTTTATGTTAAAATCTCTCATAAGAAAGGTAAAGATGTCTGAGAAAGGTACGTTACCTCTCAAACATTTCGCCTAACTAGGCTGCAATCAAAAAAGGATGCTAATAAAAGACGGCGAATTCAAATATGCATTCCAGGATATACAAAAGAACAGTGCATTATGGCGTATAAGAAGGGGTGAGAAATAGACGAGTAGAATTTCCTTACCAAAAAACGATAACGTTTGCAAGGATTTCAAAATTAAAATAGCAATTTTATGTTTTTCTGATGTATAATTATCTGATAAATAATAAATTTTAATTAGGGTAGTTTTGAATCTCTAATGTACACACACGCACACGTAAATACCACTGAGTTTATAATGTATTTATAAATATATACGTAAACATGTTATTCGATATTTTTGCGCAATCTGTGTATGCATAACAGTATATTTTCGTTTTATGAATCAATTCATTTATTCAATTGTAAGGTAAAAAAGCTTAAAACTGTCTTTAAAACTTACTACTATGTAGTGTCTTTACTGCAACTTCAACTTTATCTTCTTTCCCAGGAAGCTGCAAATCTCCTTTATACACGCATCCGAAATGTCCTAAAAAAAAAAAAAAAAAAAAGTGTTTAAAACAGATATCATTGATTAATTTCATATAAAAACTGTAGTCTGTTTTTTGCAAAAATATTCTTTTCAATAAAAGATGCAATATAAAATTTGCAAATGTGATCCTAAAATATTACATAAACGTGCGTGAGCGAGAATATATATCAATTATAAAATGCGGAAAATAACCATTCCTACATATGCCAAAGTTTATTCTACATAGTTAAATACTGCTATATTTAAGCTCCAAAGAGGGCCAAGACAGTGAAAGGTGGCCAAGTAACAGCTAAAATTGCTAAAAAAACAGTTAAAAAATATTTCATATCAACTCATTGTTTCAAAGCAATTACATTTCAAAGTAGACACTTTTACACTTACTTTTTTTATCTATGATGTAGAATTACACTGCATATAACTGATATCACTTTCATGGATGTTAAAAAAAAATTATCTTAATAAATAAACGAACAGGAAATAAAGAGCAAAGAGAAAATTGTGGCGGAATCTTTCCAGAATGGAAAAAGCTGAGTTAAATCTACTTAAGGAATGCATGGAAATAATTGCCTTTTCTAAAGATTGATTTAAATGCATTTATCAAAAAATCCATTTACCTTCTCCGATTACATCTCCAAGCGTTAAGTAATCTCTATTGACAAGAATATTTTGAGACTGAAGAAGATGCATGGTTTCCTCATCTACGGCTGCACAGACTGATTCTTCGCAAGTAGCAGCAGCGGCTGAGCCAGAAGAAGTTTGTCTAGTGATGCTTCTTCCTCTCCAGTCATGATAATCTGGATATTGGAAAAGAAATAACCAACATTTTATCTAAAAGTAATTATTTTTTGAAAATTTATGACAGATAATTTATCTTGTTTAGGAAATAAAAAAAAAAAAACTATCGACATCAACATTTCCCAAATGATGCAAAACTGCAAAATTCTATAAGGTAACATTAAGAATTCCCTCAAAACAATTACATATTAAGATTAAAAATACTGCAGATTCTAAATATTACATCCATTACATTATAAGGTATTTCTTCCACCTTCTTGGCGTGCCTTCGTGGTGTGGTGGTCTGCACACTGGGCCGGTATCCAGAGGTGCGCGGTTCGATTCCCGGCGAAGGCGTTGTTAATTTTTCATTTCTCCTGTTTCCAAAAAAACCTAATGTCTCTATAACATATTAAAAGCACTAAATTCTGCAGGTAAGACAGTACTGGATCAGGTCGTTTTTCCTGCATTGTTCGTGTTCTGAACTTCTTAAAATTGGAATCTAGACCAGCATATTGCATCGGTTGTATCCTATCGTACCTACTTACCAAAACGCAATAAGAAACGACACACAGATGGTTGTGATTAATTCGGCCGTATCAGCATGAATAGTTTCTGAGGTAGCATTATATTTATGGTCATACTGATAAGATTTAATATAATTTGAAGAAGGAAAGTACTTGCTGTGGCTGCAATTAAAAGAATTTATTCCAACGCTCAAAGCTTCTTCGCACTGCTCGAAGATGTTTTAAACCAGGTATAAGAATAATTCATAAAAAAAAAGCAAATATTTCACTTTTTTTCTGATATATATGCTAACTTTTTGTGTTTTTTAATTCTAATAATAACAAACGGTGAAGATAATAAAGTAGGCATAATTTAATTAAGAAAAAAAAGACTTGCCAATATTTTGCCTAAACATGCACGTATATAGGATGACCGCTTTTATTACTGGAATGCGAAATACTACTATAAAAAATGTAGTTGATTTATCTCTGGAAAAGCTAACTTTCAGCATAAAGTTGGAAATACACTGTTGGCCAATAAAACTACTACACCATAAAGGAAAACAGTTAGCAAAATCATATTTGTTTTACAAATACAGTATAATGGTAGAATGAAATAATTAAAATGTCACGAAAATTTGAGACACCTTTGATTGGGAAACAGATGACACAGAAATCAGCATCCCGAGCATCCCTGTCTTCAGAAACAATAGCAGCTGTTACATGGCTGGACGTGGAGCGGAAGAGATTTTAGATAGTAAATATGGTTACTGCAGTTCATATGGCGTCATTTCTATGCTAGAGTTCATCTGTCGTACTGGCTCGTAGATATCATCCTGCCAGTCTATCTGCACACATGGACAGCAGGGAAAAAACAGCATTTTCATCTGAAGAGAGATTTAGAGAATGCGCTGGCAAAGGAAGGAGTCGAACACTGCACAATCAGGAAACGTAAGAAAAGCGTGGATATTATGTGGTCTTGCACTGTCCTGTTGAAAAATGAGGCGACAATAGGCGTAAAAATATCGTACAGCCACGAGCATTAAATCTTCAATAATGTAACGGTGGCTGGTCGAAGCACCGGATTTGCGGACTGAAAGTAAATGAGTGTGTACTCGTTGATTTCAATAACATGAATCTTGGTGTTAGGCCGGTATGACGATGAAGAATACAAGCTTCCAAAATTCCTTCATCTTGGAGCGTTCACACATGGATATGATCATTATGGATGTAAGCAAAAGCAGGATTCCTCAGGGAAAAAACAGCTAATGTGTCCATGTTGAACGTACCATTGTAGATGCTGATTCCTGTGTATTGCCTTGAAGACAATTCCGAGGCGTTGCAGACGCTGTTGCACCATACTTTTGATACCTGATATTGTGAAACACACCAAGTTTCCTAATCAAGAGTACATAACGTAACTGAATGGTCCCTAACTGCAGTGCGGACAAGATGTATGTTGCCTCGAGAAAAAGCGAGAGGGGCTGTTGAGAAACCCATGCGTCGCTATGTGTGACCCTCATGAAATTATCGTTTGCAAGTCCTCATAAAAGTCATTAGATCTCGACCCAAGCGACAAGGAAGCAGCCCCATATTATATGATTCTTCTGCGATTGAATTAGGAAATGTGCTGGTATGGTCTCTTACTTCTTATTAGAAATATAACACGATCTCCAACACAGAAAACAATAAGTAAACGCGTGGTTTGAAATGAAAAATCAGTACTTCAGTTTACGTTTTTATTCTTCTTCGAGGTAATGCATTCATCTTCAATATGCACATGGTATGAAATGTTAATTACATGCATTCCGAGCGTTTCTTCAAAGATTAAAAATTACAAGTTGTTTTTTTTTTGGGGGGGAGGGGGGGCTTCCTTGACGTGTAGCAGTTTTGGTAGTTAGTGATGCATTTGATCTTGAGCCAGAAAGCAATTCGTTTGGTAAAAATGATACAAAGAAATTTCGTTATATCCTACAAAATACAAAAGGATTCCACGATTAAATTGGGAAATACTAATTTGTAGCATTTTTATATATATATTTTGCACTTACCATTACTTCCTTGCCTCCTCATCGCACATGTATTGGGGATGTTTTCTTGCCTGCTTGCAGTATAGGCCACCATATAGTCTGGATACCGTATTTTTACATTTCGCCTTCGACGTATATAAAATATGATTGCAATTATCACTAACAAGGGGATCAGCACGCAGACAGCTATAACAGCCTGAACAGCAACACTGGTTCCTCGGCGCACGAATTCTATATATCCCAACTGATACTTGACAGAGCCCATTGAAACCTGGAATAAATATATTCAAAACTAATGGGGCATTCAAAAATTGCATTATTTTTAATGTTTACACAAATTATTAAATAGGAATTCTAAATGTGGCTTTCTGATTAATAAGTGATGATCTCTCTGATTAGTAAGTGGCTTTCTGATTAATTCTTAAGGTGGATTTCTGATTAATATTAATTCTGATTAATTCTAAACGTGGCTTTCTCATTAATCTTTCTCTCCATTAAACTAAAAACGTACTTTGCATACGTAATTGCTATATATCAACATATATTTTTTAAAACACTTCTCAAAAGAGAAATGAAACTCTCTTTTGAGTGAAACTCTCTCCTCACTTTTTTGAAACACTTCTCAAAAGAAAACGTTTTTGTGCAAAGATTCATTTGCATCTCATCTATGGCTACTAAAATGATTTTTTTTTTATTTTCATACAATGAAAATACATGTTCAGATCGTAAACATATCACATCGGTTCACTATCTTCTATTACCCATGCATGTCTCAGAATTAATATGATTTGATTACAATACTCAAAGTTTGAAAGGAATTAATATTTTAAGGCCTCGGCAAACTATAGTTGGCCGCATAGCCGGCGTATTACCAAGTGACCTATTTTATGATTTCAAGTGATACACTTGAGTTCCGAAAATAAAATATAATACGTAAAAATAAATTATAAAACAGTAAAATGAAAAGAACGCTTGAAGAATACATAAAAAATAAACTGAATAGAAATAATAATAACATTTTTGTTTGATTACGAAGTTTCAGTAACGAACTTTTAAAACAAAATAATAATTGTAACATAATTTCAAGAACTTGGCAATGCCGATACATAATTCCTTGACAGACATCTGGCAACACTAATGTCCTTCTCTGAGATCTCTTATTTCACTCTTAATTTGTAACACTTGTTCAATTGCACAAGAATAAATTTAGTAACGAAAAAAAAAAAGGCTATGCCATTTTGTCCGCATTCGGTTCAATTTATTAATGCGAGCAAATATTTTCACATGTGAAATTTATTTTAAGTAAGAACAGAAGCAGCTCAACTATCGAAAATACAGGTACTTATATTTGTCTTAAGACGACTAACTATAAGCCAAACCTGACTAAAGTGAGTCACAAGTTCAGCATTAGGGAAGGCATTCATATCGAAAAGAAATATGAAGTAGATTCAGTTATGTTTGAATTTATAATAATTAGAATTTTAATTTTTATGTTTAAAGTTTAAAGCGTAGCGTAATTATTTTCTCAATAAAATTTATGTTATAATTCACACACACACACACACAGACACACACACACACACACCGACACACACACACACACACAAAAAAAAAAAAAAAAAAAAAAAAAAACTGTTTTAAAATGAAAATACCATTGATCCAAAAAGTCTTGCTAATACACACATTCTGGTTGATTTTGACCCTCAGCCAAAAAAGATTGTCGACGATGGATTAGTGGTTGGTATCGCACTGATCGACATCAAACTAATCCATAAACTGTTAAGAAAGCTCTAGGTAGTCAGAGCTTAAATTGCGCCGGAGCCCATAGGAGCCCGGCTCCGGTACTTATTAGTTTTTGCAATAAATTCTAATTCTAGCCGGAGCACACCGGAGCCCTAAATAAGAAAGCTCCGGCACTTCTTTTATGTAACTGAACAATTTTTCGGTAGAAATTTGATCTCAAAAATTTTATTTTTAGTAAAAAAATTACATCAAAAATCGTTTGTTAAATTTTAATTTTAATTACTTAATCATTTTAATGATTCAAATAATTAATTAATTTTTGATTACTTTAATCATTGATTATTAATTGTTTTAATAATTAATTATTAATGATTTGATTAGTCATTTTATTTGTTTATTTTATTTATATATTCTTGCTCTCCTTTCCTGACGGTCTTCCATAAGGCTCCTGCACTTCTAAGTTTAGAAATTAAACCCTGTAGGTAGTGTGCATATTTTCCCACAGTAAACTCTTCCCTGTGGATGTACGTCAATATTCTGCAATGCTGCCAATATTCCAGGATAGATTTATATATCTTTGGGAGAACTTCAGCAACTTCAAATTTTTTAAATTAAAGGTATTCAGTACAGTCATTAGGTTTGCTGAAGCAAAAAAGATTAAAGATGTGTAATGATCTGGCCCGGATTCGAGCTATGGACGCTTAAATTGCCAGCTGAGCATTCTGCGATGTAGAAAGAAGGGAGAAAATACTTTACATTCTCCACTTAAACGTCAACTGGAAAGGCGAAGATCCAGTCGCTAAATCCTATTGGTGACGAATTATCGCCCACCGAGTTTTAGTTCCGGCGCCACTTGTAAAGTCTATTATTTTGGAGTAGGAGACGTGAAAAATATGTAATAGACTAGCCAGAATTTGAACTCTAGACTTCCTAAATGCCAGCCGGACAGGCTTCCAATTACAACGAAAAGGCATGAGGTTAAGTAGGGAGAAATTAACATAGAAGTCTATTTAACTGCATTAATCTTTCCCTTATGATGCTAATTTCTTAATTAGTAATTATTTGACAGATGTTTCTGCAGATGATATTTTTTTTTGACTGAATTTGCTTTGAATTTTATTTCGACTGAACTTGCTTTGAATTTTATTAGGCATTAGCATCACTGAGAAGAAAAGAATGATTATCATTATTTTAAGACTGGTTTCCTTAACCAAATTGTCCGAATTTATTAGTTTTCGACATTTGTTTTGTAATTTTGTAATCTCTACTTTTCTTGTAACCTTTCAATTTCCTTACATTCCAAATTTTGATATTAGATGGAACTTACTGCACAATACAGCTTTTGTCCAATTGCCTACTTGTAACGATGAAATGGTTAATAGTTTGTAATAGTTTGCAAGGAAAAACTTGAAGCACTTAGCCTAACATGAGATTTAAAAGGCTACACGTGGGAGAAAATCAAAGATATTATTTTATTTTGGCATATTCTTACAGGACATTCGTAGCCTATTCTAAATACCTGAATATGTGTTCAGACAAATCTCATTTTTCTGAAGATCAGTAGATTAAAATAAATTTAATAACAAGCCAATAAAAAATAATATCATAATATATAACAAAAATTTTCATCAACAAATTTATAATATTATTTTGCACATATCATTACTATTACTTAAGTTTATGGAAAAAAACCTCAATGCAGCATTTTCAAATCAGATAATTACCTCATTTATGATACCATATTTTAAAAAAATATATCTACACTACATGGCTTCCTTGTACGGCCTATTAAATTATATACGCACTTTGTAATTCACTTCATTTAAACTTATTTCCTCGAATTATTCTAACTGGCTCCTCAAGGCAAGTTGAAAATGACGTCAAAAATGGTAAATTCTGAAATTAAATATCCCAGTCATTTTCGTCCTATGAAAGTCAATAAAAATATACGATTTTTATTTTTTCATAACGAGTAGCTTTTCCAAATATAAGTATAGGAACTATAGGGGACCTCAATTAAAAGTTAGTTTTCGCTATTTGTCCAATTTTTTTTTTATTTAAAATTGACAAAACATGACTATTTTCGTCATTTAAAACGCTTCTGTAACTGGAAGTATATGACTATGACCAACGATTGTGAAAAATAAAAGCTCGGGTAAGGATTTTTAAGCCGGGGTAAGGAGGTGAGTATATATACTCGCCGTTTTGGGTACTGCCGACTGCAATAAAAAAGGGAAGTGCACAGGTAGATATTATAATAGTCCCGGTTATAGAAGAAAACATCGCGCCAAAAACATTGTGGACGAAAACATCACGGAAAAATACAAAAAAAAAAAAAAAAAAAAAAAAAGGAGAAAACAATAGCAGTTCTAAAACGTCGTAGTAGAAACATCGTTGTCGAAAATAAAGTGGCTCAAAAAACTTCGCAGTTTAAAAACATCATCGTCGAAAATATCGTGGTAAATAATAAAAACTTATAAATCATCGCATAACGATTACATCGCAGACATGCGTTTTTCAGGCTTTAAAAGTTGTAAATGCATATTTACATAATGATTTGTGAGCGCAAGAAGAAATGAGGATTATTTTGGTTTTCATATTTTTGAACTAAATAACAAATTTTTGCTGAAAAATTAAGAAGAAAACTAAAGCAATCAGAAACTGAAAATGACTAGAAAACTAATGCTATTAATAGCAGTTGACAGAATTTGATAATTAAGTAATCAAATGCAGTTATTCATCTTCCTTTTCTAATCTTTTTAGACTATATTTTGCATGACAAAATTTCCATAAAACTTAATAAAAGAGATTCATTAATTAATGACCGTTATTTGTTAACTATATTAGTTACAATTCTGTTAACAGCAATGCCTAGCGTTATTTTTCTATTCATTTTTCGTTTCTGAATACCCTTCTTACTTTTTCAACAAAAATGTATTAGTTAATTGAAAATATGAAATACAAAAGTAAAAATACTCTTGATTCAGTCTTCAGCTCACAAAACATTATGCGTACATGCATTTACAACTTTTAAATCCTGAAACACGCATGTCTGCGATGATTTGTTAGGTACTTTATTTTTTACCACGATATTTTCGACGACGATGTTTTTAAAATGCGAAGGTTTTGAACTGCTTTACTTTCGATGACGACATTTTGTATCACGATATTTTAGAAATGCGACGTTTCCTCCTTGCTTTGTTTTTCCCCACGATGTTTTGTACGACGAGGTTTTCTCCTTGCGTTGTTTTCTCCTCGACGTTGTATCTGACGTAAAAAGCGATGTATCTGCAGCGATGTTTTCGACATACACCACCATATACTAAATTGTATCGTTCTACAGCTAATCGTTTTCGAGTTATACAAGGTACATACGTACAGACGTCAAGAAAAAAGTACCTTTTGAATGCATCTTTAAATCCATTCATCCGTTTTGAAGAAAAGAGTCATTTATTCTGCCCGCACGTACAGACCAAAATAAAATCGTCGAAATGGATTCGGGAATGGTGAAAATGGATATTTCCGTTGAAATATGATACCCCAAATTTTCCGCGATTACAATACTTCCTTTACCTCGTACAAGGATGTTAAAAGTATTTTTGATGGTGGACCTTTCAAACAATTACTTAATTCAGATGACACATGGATGATACGCAAATAAAAAGAAATCACACTTCAAAGAACTAAGTAACTCAAAATATAAGATATTCACCTCAACAGAATACAAAGATCCATTGCTTTGTGAGAAGACATTAGGTGGTGGTATAATACAATACAGATTTTCTGCTGATATACTGGAAACATTACATGTCTTATTGCCATCTATATAGACTTTTATGTCAGTAGGTGAATGAGCCAAATTCAAATATTTACCCTAAAACAAAAAGAAAGATGTATTATAATGAAATCGTTTATATTTGGAAAAAATTACAATTAATGATTATAAATACACCGAAAACAATTAAAACTTAAGTAAATAATCTCTGTAATACAATTATTTCTTTATGTAAAACTGTATCTAATACAGCTAATTAACATACAATTGTCTGCGTCTCATTGGAAGACAAAGTTTCATTCAATAAGAAATTATAGCCTAGAAAGTTACTGAAGTGAAACGAAATAAGATTACCTTACAATTCAGATGATGATATTAATAAAGAGTTATATGAGTGGAATATATTTTTTACGTAATAGCAAAGGCTTCGAAGAAAGAGAATTAGCAAACCCCCTAGAATTCAGTGAACACTTTACTAGGTGGGCTTCTCATTTTCAAAGATTCTTCTACGAATATTTTCATTACATTTATAAATAATCATTCATTTCCCAGTGAAAAAAACTAGAAATAAACAACAAAATTAAAGCTTTTATATTTAAATATTTATATAAACACAAAATTTAGAACAGTAAAGCTATATTTGCTCATTTCCGTTGTATACTTAGTTTGTAAAGACCGCCTCTAAAAAAATTCCCACGTGTGAACCAAATTTTCACTATATTTTTTTTAGCTTTTCTATTTCATTACCAGTTACGTAGAGGAAAAATGTAACTATTGTAGTGGTAAAATATTTTATACAGCCTTTCTTGGACAGTTTCCATCTGGAAACACCTCCCACCGAACTGTGGAATAAGGCGCATTTCTAGTTAATTGGCTGATACTTACGTTACCTACATAAACTTCCTAATTTGGTTTCTATGTCATTGGATCTTAAGTCGGATAAAGAAATGGCCGGTTAATCCAAAATAGCATTTATAGAATACAAGTAAATTTATAAAAGCATGCATACACACCACGACAGAAAGAGCAAATGCATTTATCGTGCAAATATCTGTAGGAGTGCATTCGTACAGGTTATGCAGATGAGTGCAGTCGCAAGCCAGTTCTCCGATTAGCACGCAGCTTGTGATTGAGTCATTAGTGACTGAATTACCACATGAATCGCAAGCTCAATAGTTTTAAATCTACGATTAGCAAGCCTCTCACTTTATTTCCTTCTTTGGAAGAAGTAATATATTGTCTCCACATACAATATACTTCATTTTCATAAAAATGGCGACGATATTTTAATTCACCGAAAAAAATTGTCAAAAAATATCCCTAGTTAAAATGGAAATCGGTTGAAACGGCACTCGGCGAGAGAATCTAATTTATAACGGAACAGAGAAAAATCTATGCTGCCAAAAGCTGTGGAATAAAGAATTATCGCAACGATTATGGCTCGTGATGTGATTATTTCACATCAGAAACGTTTTCTATAGCTTAGTCTTTACACTTTTCGTGCCTGTTACATTCTATTATGTAACTAAAGCATTTATCACTCTCAGTATCTAGTTAATTGCCAATTCTCAGCGGTGTAACCATTCTATAAGACACAAGATCTTAAGTTATCCTCGAAACTTGTAATATTCTACGAACAGAGCGATTTTAAAAGCAATGTTTGTAAATTTTTATAATATATATCTTTATTTTTTTAATTACATCTTTAATTGGCCTGATTTATAATGCTTGTAATTCATATAATTTAATACTATTATACTATAGAGTCTGTCTCTCTTGTTCCACATAAACTAGAACAGACCCTATAATGATTTATTCACGCTTGTGCGAGAATTGCCAAATCTGACTACTCACTCAAAACCGAAGGTAAAAATAACCCTTTTATAGATGTGTGTGTGTATTTAATTATGTCAAAGCTCATAGGGCTATCTGCCTAAGGGGAGAGGGATGCCTTTGTGGAGGACTTCAAGGGAAAACTGACTCGTATACACGTTACACATGGGGAAAACCAAGAAAACAACCATGCAGAAAAGCCCGTCGCGGGATTCGAACCTCGGACCGAACTACCAGTTCAGCGACCTTACCGCTCGCCCGTGGTGGGCCAACCCTTTATTAATTCACTAGTTAACAGAAAGGCCCGACTTCGTGCGTTACAAGGACACCGTCCACTTGTCAGTGGAAACTAAAACATAGAATATAATACAAGTCAAACCTGAAATAAATAGTGCAAGAGCACATTTAAGTTTACGCCCTAAGAGGTGGGACTCATAGGAATCTAGCCGGCTGATACTAATCTGATAAGCCAAAGTGACCGCTAAAAAACAACGAAACGGCGCTTGGCTAGCGAAACACGCTCTGAAGAAACTGATATTAACACCGTTTAAATAGCACTTCACTAACTTTAAATTTACATCCTGCGAGAGAATGTGCGGGGAAGTTGAGAACAGGTACAAACTTAAAATAAATTTGTTATGCAAAATAAGGAAAACACTACAATACTTAACTGATAATTTTCATAAACATTATTATCTATGCAATTAATAGAAGTTGTTTCCAACGTCCCGTTATTTATCTTGATACGATATGTTTACCTACATACACGATAATGATTTGTGCACCGCTTGACAATAAGTTTTACGAGGTTTTGCTGTCAGAATCAGGTTGCATTGGTGCTTTGGACTTTCCAATACGCCTTAATTGTGATAGATATCATCCTGCCTC